TTTATTTGTGGAGTACAGCAAACGTGCCATCGTCTTCAACTCAACAGTAATTCAAGCCAGTCTTACTACATCGGAAATTCAGGGTGAGCTAATGCTTCTAGCTTGGACTGAATCTTCTTCTTCAAGTCTTGATGCCTTGAACTTCCGGCATGGACTAGCTTCTTATGTATTTTTAGCTTTTAGAATACTCTTAGTTTAGTCATTTGATTGTAGATGTTCTTGTGATGATGACTTCCAGATTTTGGGGATGATAATAATAGATGTTGAATATTGATAGTTATTGAGTTGTTTTATTAATGAGTTTAAGTCTTCCGCATTACTTTCTGTTGATATACGTTGAAATGTTAAGGGTTAGAATGGTTGGTTCGCTCACATAGGAGGGTAAGTGTGGGTGCCAGTCGCGGCTCGGATTTGGGTCGTGACATAACAATAACAGCAGTAGCAACAACAGTAACAACAACAACATCAATAACAGCAGCAGTAACAAAAGCACCTCCACCACCACTACCACCACCAACAACAACAATAACAGGAAACAAACAAGAACAACAACAACAATAACAACAACAAACAACAACAATAGCACCAACACCACCAACAACAACAGCAACAACAACAACAAACAACAACAACAACAACAACAACGATAAAAACAACAAAAACAACAACGTCCGCAAACAACAACAAAAGAAACAAGAATAACAGCTACAATAGCAATAACAACGGCAACAACAACAACAACAGCAGTAACAATTGCAGAACAACAACAACACCACAACTAATAACAACAACAACAATAGCAAAAACAGAAATAGCAACAACAACAACACCCAAAACAACAACTGTAGCAAGAACAAAAGCAACAAAAATAAGAGAAACAATAACAAAAAAAAGGAACAACAACAACAACAACAATGAAAACAACAACAATGACAAAAGCAACAACAATAGCGTAAACAACAGCAACAACAACAACAAAAGCATAAAGAACATCAACAACAACAACATTAACAAAAACAACAACAACAACAACGGTAACAATAACAACAATAGCAAAAACAGCAACAAAAACAACAACAACAATAACAACAACAACAACTGCAAACGACAACGACAAAAACAACAACAACAACATCTACTACAACAACAACAACATCAACAACAACAACAACAATAACAATAACAACATACACAACAATAACAATAACAACCACAACAACAATAAACAACAACAAAAGCAAGTTACAATAACAACAACAACAACAACTACAACAACAACAACAACAATAAAAACAACAACAACAACAACAACTACAGCACCAACAACAAAACCAAGGACAAGAACAAGAATAACAACAACAACAAGAACAAGAATAACAACAACAACATAAACAACAGAAGAAACAACAGCATCAACAACAGCAACAACAACAACAGAAGTAACAATAGCAACAACAACAACAAAAGCAAATACAACAACAATAAAACAAACAACAACAAAAAAAAAAAAAAACAACAACAACAACAATAACAACAACAACTACTACTACAAAAACAACAACAATAACAGCAAAAATAACAACAACAACTACAACAACAACAACAATAAGAGCATGAACAACAACAGCAACATCAATAAAAAGTTCCAACAACAACAACATAAACAACAACAACAATTGCAAAAACAAAAACAACAAACAACAACAACAACAATGAGAACAACAACTACAATAAGAACAACCACAAGGACAACAACAAGAACAACAACAACAACAAGAACAAGAATAACAACAACAACATAAACAACAACAACAACAACAGTATTAACAACAACAACAACAACAGAAGTAACAACAACAACAACAAAAGCAAACACAACAATAACAACAAAAATTAAAAAAACAACAACAACAACAAAAATAACAATAACAACAAAAACAACAACAATACAATAGGAAAATTAACAACAACAACTACAACAACAACAAAAATAAGATCATGAAAAACAACAGCAACAAAAATAAAAAATAACAATAACAACAACAACAACAATAAAAACAACAATACAACAACAAAAATAACAACATACAACAACAACAAAAATAAGAGCATGAAAAATAACAACAATAATAAAAAACAACAACAACCACAACATAAACAACAATAATAACTACAACAACAACAACGGCGAACAACAAAAACAACAATGAGAACAACAACAACAACAAGAACATCAACAGTAACAACAACAACAATGTCAACAACAACAACAACAATAACAACAGCAACAACAATAGTAACATAAACCATAATAAGAACAAACAACAACAATAACAACAACAACAACATCATCAAATAAACACAACGACGAGTACGAACAACAACATAAACAACAATAACAAATAACAGCAGCAACAACAACAACAACAACAAGGACATACACAACAATAACAACAAAAAGATCAACAACAACAACAACAACAACAACTACAATAACAACACCCACACCATCACCAACAACACCAATAACACCAGCAACACCACCACCAACAACAACAACTACAGTAACAACAATAACAACAACAACAACAACAACAACAACAAGAACAACAACAAGACCATAACAACAATAACAACAACAACAACAATAACAACAACAAGAACAACAACAAGAACAACAACAAGAACAACAACAACTACAGTAACAACAATAACAACAACAACAACAAGGACAACAACAAGAACAACAATAACATAACAACAGCAACAACAGCGGCATCAACATCAATAATAAGAATAAGAACATCAACAAAAGCATTAACAATAAAAACAACATCAATAACAACAACAACAACAAAAGTAACTACAACAACAATAACAACAACAACAACAAGAAAAACACCTCCACCACCACCACCACCAACAACAACAACAATAACACCATCAACAGCAATAATAATAACAACAACAACAACAATAGCAACAACAAAACCAACATTAACAACAGCAAAAACAACAAGAGCTACAGTAACAACTGCAAAACAACAACAACACCACAACCAATAACAACAACAACAACATCAAAAATAGAAACAACAACAACAACAACACCCAAAACAAAAACTGTAGCATGAACAAAAGCAACAAAAACAAGAGAAACAAGAACAAAAAAAGGAACAACAACAACAAGAACAATGAAAACAACAACAATGACAAAAGCAACAAGAATAGCGTCAACAACAGCAACAACAACAGCAAAAGCATAAAGAACAACAACAACAATAACATTAACAAAAACAACAACAACACTAACAACAGTAACAACAACAACAAGAGCAAAAACTGCAACAATAATAACAATAACAATAACTGTAAACGACAACAACAAAAACAACAACAGCATCAACTACAACAACAACAACATCAACAAGAACAACAATAACAACAACAGCATATCTAACAATAACAACAACAACAACAATAAAAAACAACAGCAACAAACAACAATAACAACAACAACAACTACAACAACAACAATAACAACAACAACAACAACAACAACAATAAACAACAACCACATCAAACAACAACAACAACAATAATAACAACAACAATAAAAACAACAACAACAACTACAGCAATAACAACAACAACAACAACAACAAGGACAACAACAAGAACAACAACAACAACAACAAGAATAACAACAACATAAACAACAGCAACAACAACAGCATCAACAACAGCAGCAACAACAACAACAGAAGTAACAACAGCAACAACAACAACAAAAGCAAATACAACAATAATAATATCAAAAAAATTAAGAAAAACAACAACAACAACAAAAATAACAATAACAACAACAATAACAACAGGAAAAACAACAACAAAAACAACAAAAATAACAACAACAACTACAACAACAACAACAATAAGAGTATGAACAAAAATAAAAACAAGTACAACATATACACCAACAACAATTGCATCAAAAATAGAAACAACAACAACAACAACACCCAAAACAAAAACTGTAGCATGAACAAAAGCAACAAAAACAAGAGAAACAAGAACAAAAAAAGGAACAACAACAACAAGAACAATGAAAACAACAACAATGACAAAAGCAACGAGAAGAGCGTCAACAACAGCAACAACAACAGCAAAAGCATAAAGAACAACAACAACAATAACATTAACAAAAATAACAACAACACCAACAACAGTAACAACAACAACAAGACCAAAACTGCAACAATAATATCAACAACAATAACTGTAAACGACAACGACAAAAACAACAACAACAGCATCAACTACAACAACAACAACATCAACAAGAACAGCAATAACAACAACATATCTAACAATAACAACAACAACAACAATAAAAAATAACAGCAACAAACAATAATAACAGCAACAACAACTACAACAACAACAATAACAATAACAACAACAACAACAACAATAAACAACAACCACATCAAAAAACAATAACAACAACAACAACTACAGCAATAAAAACAACAACAACAACAAGGAAAACAACAAGAACAGCAACAACAACAACAACAAGAATAACAACAACATAAACAACAGCAACAACAACAACAAGAATAACAACAACATAAATAACAGCAACAACAACAGCATCAACAACAGCAACAACAACAACAACAACAAAAGCAAATACAACAACAACAACATCAAAAAAATTAAGAAAAACAACAACAACAACAAAAATAACAATAACAACAACAATAACAACAGGAAAAACAACAACAAAAACAACAAAAATAACAACAACAACTACAACAACAACAACAATAAGAGTATGAACAAAAATAAAAACAAGTACAACATATATAACAACAACAATTGCAACAACAACGGCTAACAACAACAACAACAATGAGTGCAAAAACAACAATAAGAACAACAACAAGGACAATAACAAGAACAACAACAACAACAAGAATAAGAATAACAACAACAACATAAACAACAGCAACAACAACAGTATCAACAACAGCAACAACACCTACAATAACAACAACAACAAAGGCAAACACAACAACAATAACAACAACAACAACAACAAAAATAAGAAAAACAACAACAACAATAAAAATAACAATAACAACAACAATAACAACAAAAACAACAACAACAAAACAACAAAAATAACAACAACAACTATAACAAGAACAAAAATAAGAGCATGAAAAACAACAACAACAACAATAAAAAACAACAACAAGATAAACAAAAACAACAACTGCAACAACAACAACGGCAAACAACAACAACAACAATGAGAACAACAACAACAACAAGAACATCGACAGCAACAACAACAACAACAATAACAACAGCAACAACAATAATAACAGAAACAATAATAAAAATAAACAATAACAATAACAACAACGTCAATAACAACGACAAGAAGAAGAAGAAGAAGAAGAAGAACAACAACAACAACCTCAAATAACCACAACGATGAGTAAGAACAACAACATAAACAACAATAACAAATAATAGCAACAACAACAACAACAACAAAAAGGACATACACAACAATAACAACAAAAAGATCAAAAACAACAACAACACCAACTACAATAACAACACCAACACCAACACCAACACCAACAACTCCAATAAAACCAGCAACACCAACAACAACAACATCAACTACAGTAACAGTAATAACAACAACAACAAGAAGGACAACAAGAAGAACAACAACAAGAACAACAATAAGAACATCGACAAAAGGATTAACAATAAAAACAACATCAATAACAACAACAACAAAAAAAGTAACTACAACAACAATAACAACAACAAGAACAAGAAAAAAACCTCCACCACCAACAACAAAAACAATATCACCAACAATAACAATAATAATAACAACAACAACAGCAATATCAACAACAACAACAACAATAACAACAGTAACAACAATAATAACAAAAGCAAACAACAACAATAGCCACAGAAGCAACAACAACAATAGAATTAATAATAGCAACAACAGCAACAACAACAATATAAACAGCAACATCAGCGACAACAACAACAACAACAACTACACCAACAGCAACAACAATAGTAACAATAACAACATTAGCCGCAACAATAACATTAACTACAACAACAACAACAACGTCATCAACAACAACAGCAGAAACAACAATAGTAATAGTAACTGAAACCGCAACAACAACAACATCATCATCAATAACAGTAACAACTACAACAGTTATAACAACAACAAACAACAACAACATCAATAATAACAACAACTACCGCTAAAACAACAACAACAACAACAATTATAAGAGCATGAACAACAACAGAAACAAAAATATAAAATAGCAACAACAATAATTTAAACACCAGCAACAACAACAACAACAACAACAAAAGTAACAATAACGACAACAACAACAGCAATAAGAACATCGACAACAACAATAACAACAATAAAAAATCGCAACAACAGCAACAACAACAACAACAACAACAATAGCAAAAATAATAATAATAAAAACAATAACAACAACAACAATAAGAACATCAGCAAAAGCAACAACAACAACAACAACAATATGAACATTAATAATAGCCGCAACAATAAAAACAACATCAACAACAAAATCAACAATAGCAAGAGAAAAAGCAACAGCAGCAACAACAACAGGACCTATACGACCACCACCACCAACCACAACAACAACAACAAACAAACACAAGAATAAAAAAAGTAGGTCCAACACCACCAACAACAACAGCAACAATAACAGGAAACAACTACAACAACAGCAACAACAACAACAACAACAAGAACAACAACAACAACAACAACAACAATGTCAACAACAATAGTAGCAACAATAACAACAACAACAACAACAAAAACAATGTCAACAACAACAACAAAAACAATAGCAATAGCTTCAACAACAACAACAAAAACTGCAACAACAACAACTGCAAACTACAACAACAACAGCAACAACAAGAACATCAACAACAACAACAACAACGTCAAAAACAACAATAACAACAGCAACAACAATAATAGCAAAAAACAACAACATCAAAAACAATAACAACAACAACAATAACAAAAACAACAACAACTTCAAGAACAGTAACAGCAATAGCAACCACAACAACTGCAAATAACACCAACGATGAGTAACAACAAAATGATAAAGAATAATAACAAAAAACAACAATAACAACAACAACATACACAACAATAACAACAAAAACAGCAGCAACAACAACAACACGAACTACAATAACAACAACAACAATAACAATAACAGCAAAAACAACAACAACAACAACAACACCAGCAGCACAAACAACAACAACAACTACTACACCAACAGCAGCAACAACAGCAACAACAACAACAAGGATAAGATCAAGAACAAGAACAACAACTAAAATAACAAAAACATAAACAACAACAATAACAACAACAACGTCAACAAGAACAACTAAAACAACAACAAAAGTAACAATAGCAATAGCAATAACAAAAGCAACTAAACAAAAATAACAACAAGAAAAACAAGACAAGCACCACACCACCACTAACAACAATAACAACAACACCAACACCAACAACAACAATAATAACAACAGCAACAACAACAATAACAACAAGAACAATTGCAGCAACAACAGAACAACAACAATAACAGTAGTAGAAATATAAGCAACAACAACAATAGGAATAACACCAGTAGCAGCAACAACAACAATTGCAACATCAACAGAAGCAACAACAACAACAACCATAACAACAACAACCATAACAACAACAACAACAGCAACAACAACAGCTGCAACACCAACAACGACAACAACAACACAACCAATAACAACAACACCACCAAAACCACCAACAACAACAGTAGAAAAAAAGAACAACAACAACACCAACACAAACAACAACAACATCATAAACAACAATAGCAGGAATAAAAACAAAACCAACAGCAACAATAACAACAACAATAACAACAACAATCGAAAAAGTTATAGTAACCGCAACAGCAACAACAATCGGAACATCAACAACAACAATAGGAACAACAACAACAACAACAACAGTAACGACAGCAACAATAACAAAAACAACAACAAAAACAATAGCAACAAAAGCAACAACAACAAGAGCAACAACAACAACAACAACAACATCATCAACAACAACAGCAGGAACAACAACAAAAGCAACAGAACAAGAACAACAATAACAAAAAAAGAACAACAACAACAATAACAACAAAAACAACAACAACAACAACGACAACACAAAAAATAGAAACAGCAACAACATCAACAATTGCAGCAATAAAAACATCAACAACAACAACAATAGCAACAACAACAACAACAAAAACAAAAAAAACAAAAATATCAACAACATCATAAACAACAATAAAAAATAGCAACAAACACAACAACAAAAACAACAACAAAAACAAAAACAACATTAACAACAACAACAATAACAACAACATCAACAATAGCAACATCAACATCAACAACAACACCAACAAAAATAGCAACAAAAACAACACCAATAACACCAACTTTAACAACAGCAACAAGAAAAACACCACCTCCACAACCACCACCACCAACAACAACAATAATAATAAACAAACAAACAACAACAACAACAATAAAAAAAAAAACAACAACAATAACACCAACACCATCACCAGCAACAACAACAACAACATCAAACAACAACAACAACAACAACAATAACAAAAGAAACAACAATAGCAATAACAATAGCAATAACACCAGCAACAACAACAACAAGAGCTGCAGTAACAACTGCAGTTACAACAAGAACAACACAACCAATAATAACAACAACATCAAAAACAAAAACAACAACAACAACAATACAAAAAACAAAAACTGTAGCAAGAACAAAAGCAACCAAAACAAGAGAAACAAGAACAACAACAACAAAAACAATGAAAACAACAACAACAACTAAAGTAACAATAACAGTGTCAACAATAACAACAATAAAACTAAAAGCAACAACAACGGCAACAGTAACAACATAAACAACAACAACAACAACAACAAAAACAACAAAAACAAGGACAGGAACAACAACAAGAACAACAACAATAACAACAACAACAACATTAACAACAACAACGACAAAAACATCAACAATAACAAAAATAACAAAAAAGTAACAACAGAAACAACAACAACAAAAGAAACTACAATAACAACAATAACAACAACAACAAGAATAAGAAAAACACCACCACCACCACCACCACTGCCACCACCACCACCAACACAAACATAAATAACAATAACAACAACAACAAAAACAATAATAAGAACATGAACAACATCAGCAACAACAATAAAAAACAGCAACAACAACAACATAAACCACAGCAACAACAACCACAACAGCAAAAAGAACTGTAACAAAAAAACCAATAAGAGAACATCAACAATAGCAGCAACAACAATAAAAAACAGCCACAACAACAACAGCAGCAACAACAACAACAGCAAAAATAACAATAACAACAACAATAAGAAGAACATCAATAACAATAGCAAAAACAACAACAACAGCAACGACAACAACAATAACAACAACACCAACAACAAAAACAAGGACAATAACAAAAACAACAACAGCAAGGACAACAACAAGAAAAACAACACCAATAACGACAATAACAACAATAACAACATAAACAATAGGAATAACAGCAGCGTCAACAACAGCAACAACGACAACAAAAGTAACAACAACAACAACAACAACCAAAGCATTTACAACAACAACAACAACACCAACAACAAAAAGAAAAACACAACACCACCACCACCAACAAGAAGAACAACAACTACAAAAAAAAAACAATGATTACAACAACAACAATAAGAATTCAACAACAGCAACAAAAACTACAAAAACAATAACATCAAGACCAACAACAACAACAACAACACCTACACCACCACCACCATCACCAACAATGACAACAACAACAACATAAAATAATAACAACAGCAACAACAATAGCGCCAACACCACCATCAACACTACCACCACCACCAACAACAACAGAAAAACAATAACAACAATAACAACAACAACAACAACAACAACAACAACCACAACAACAATAGCAACAACAACAACAACAGTAGCAATAATAACAACAACAACAATAACATGGTCAACAACAATAGCTTCAACAACAAGAACAATAATAATAACAACAACAGCAAACAACAAAAATAATGACAACAACAACAACAAGAACATCAACAACAAAAGAACAACAACAATAACAACCACAACAACAACTACAACAAACAACAACAACAACAATAACGTCAACAACAACAACAACAGCAAGAACAACAACAACAACAAAAACTACAAGAACACCACCCCCACAACCACCAAAAACAACTGCAAACAACAACAATGACAACAACATCAACAACATACACAACAATACCATGAACAACAACAAAAACAATTGCAAAAAACAAGAAGAAGAAGAAGAACAACAACCACAACAATAACAACAACAACAACAATAACAAAAACAATAACAACAACAACAGTAACTACTACTTCTACAACAAAAACAACAACAATAACAACAACGACAACAACAACTATAATAACAACATTAACATAAACAACAACGACAACAACAGCAGCAACACAACAAAAGTAACAAAAACAACAATAACAATAAAAGCAACTACAACAACAAATACAATAAGAAAAACAACAACAACAACAACAACACCAATAACAACAACAACAATAAAAGTAACAGTAATAACAACAACAACAATTCCGTCAACAACAACAACAACAACAGCAAGAACAACAACAACTACAAGAACACCACCCCCACAACCACCAACAACAACTGCAAACAACAACAACAACAACTACAAGAACACCACCCCCACAACCACCAACAACAACTGCAAACAACAACAATGACAACAACCAAAACAACAACATCAACAACATACACAACAATACCATGAACAACAACAAAAACAATTGCAAAAAACAAGAAGAAGAAGAAGAAGAACAACAACCACAACAACAACAACAACAACAATAACAAAAACAATAACAACAACAACAGTAACTACTACTGATACAACAACAACAACAACAATAACAACAACGACAACAACAACTATAATAACAACATTAACATAAACAACAACGACAACAACAACGTCAACAACAGCAGCAACACAACAAAAGTAACAAAAACAACAATAACAATAAAAGCAACTACAACAACAACTACAATAAGAAAAATAACAACAACAACACCAATAACAACAACAACGATAAAAGTAACAGTAATAACAACAACAACAATAAGAGCATGAACAACAACAACAATAAAAAATATCAATAACAACAACAACAACAATAATAATTAACAACAACAACAACATAAACAAAACAATAAAATGAATCATAACAACAACAACAACAACCACAACCACAACTATAAAAACATCGACAACGGTAACAAAAACAATTAAAAACAGTAACAACAACAAGAGCAAAAACTACAACAAAACCAACAACAACAAAAAAAACAATAACAATAACAACAATAACAATAAGAACAACAACAACAGTAACAACAAAAATAACAGCAACAACAACAGCAACAGTAAAAACAACAGCAACACCAACAGTAACAACAAAAGCACCAACACACCAACACCACCACCAACACCAACAACAACAAACAACAACAACAACAACAAGAAAAATAACAACACCAAAAGCAAAAACAACAACGTCAACAACAATAGTAGCAACAATAACAACATTAACCACAACAACGTCAACAACAACAACAACAAAAACAATAGCAACAACATCAAAAACAACAACAATGACAACAACTGCAACAACAACTGCAAACAACAAGAACAACAACAACAACAAGAACATCAACAACAATAGACAACAAGAGCAACAACAATTACAACAACAACAACAACAAAAATAGCAACAACCTCAACAACCTCAACAACAACAAGGACAACAGAAACAAAAACATCAACAACAACAATACAACTACCACAACTACCACCACCACCACCAATAACAACAACAACTACAACAATAATAACAACAACAACAATAACAATCAAATCAATACAAATAACAACATCAATAGCAACAATAGAGACTACTACAACAACAACAACAACAACAACAATGACAACAACAACAACAAACAAAAGAATAAGAACAACAAAAAAACAACAACAACAACAACAACAACATTAGCAACAACAGTAGCAACAATAACATCAACAACAATAGCAACAATAGCAACTACAACAACAACAATAACAACAACACAACAGCAACAACAGCAACATCAATT